GGGGGTCATGATGTCCTGCCCCGGGGGGGGGTCATGATGTCCTGCCCCGTGGGGGTTGGGGGGGTACCACATGTTGACCTGTCGGTATGAGTTGAGACTTCTTTGCAGCATCGCACTTTACCTCCCGTTTTCTCCTCTTTCCTCTCCTGCGATTGGCAAAGCGACGATGTCCTCCACTCCCGGGAGCCCGGCTCCCGACTGGTACAAAGATTTTGTGACGGATTCCGACGCCATTGTGCTGGATCATTCTGGAAAGATTAGCCTTCTGTTTGAGATTCTTCGTATGGCGGAGGAGCTCGGCGATAAAGTGTGAGTGTCTTCTGTCCAGACTGCAATGTGATACGTGATGTAGACGTGTCCTGTGTGAGCCATGACATCGGGGGGGGTCGTACTGTGGTGCCGATCCGGTGATGATCATCTCACGTGTCTCAGTCCTTTATTATCCAGTATGATTATAATGTAGTGAGAGAGATCCGATGGTGGCCATTGCCGTCCATGGTCTGGTCAGTACTGGCCCCCTGGCTGTCTCTGGCCACCATACTTCATGCCGGGCTCCTCTAGTATTGGGTCCGGGTCGTAGATTGCCGCGTAGTAACATTTGCTTCCTTCCTGTAGTTTAGTTTTCAGCCAATCTCTCATATCGTTGGACCTGATTGAAGATTTTCTAGAACTGGCAAGCATGGATAAACCTGAAGAGGAGGAGGAAGGAGCAGAACCCAGGCCGGTCATTTATAAAGGTAAATACATAGAAGCGGGTCAGATGGATCTGTATGAGGGGGGGCGGGGCCTGGAAGTCAAAGGTCAGTCCTGATGTGACCATATCCAGGCCTGGTGATTCGTTAAGGCCCAAACACTATCATATAGGGGAGTGCCCCCACATTCCCCCCGCAGTGTGGGAATGTGGCCGGGTAAGGTACACATGCCATGGTGGGGGGGGTGCTATGTATTCTCAGTACTCTCTTCATATGCAGGGCCACTACAGAAATGTCGTTATTACCGCTGATTCTTGAGTTCCAGCGCTGTAAATTGCCAGGCTGGGCTCATTTCTGTCACACAGACCGCTCATTGAGTGGAAGGGCCCGAGACCCGGAAACGCGATCGTTCAGGATCAAGTCATATTTCTAAGCCGGTGCTGAAAGACCCGTACATGTATGACAGGAAAAGACCCCTCAGAGACCCGTACATGTATGACAGGATAAGACCCCTCAGAGACCCGTACATTCAGGAACAAGCAGCTGGTCTACATTTGAGTGCAAGAAATAATTAGACCTTCCAGGCAATTCCGTGTTCTGCGGTCTGCGCGGAGGAAGCCGCGTCTCCCCTAATTGGAAGCATTTCTTCTACTGGTTTTATGTCCCCCGGATTGTGATAAGTCGCCCCCCCCGCCCTCGGGGTGATCACCCCAATACACGCCGGCGGGGGGACCGTCTCAGCTGGATGTGAGTTCTATGAACCCCGAATATAGAAACAATGTCTACATACAGGTCACCCCGATACTATGTCTACATACACGTCACCCCGATACTATGTCTACATACAGGTCACCCCGATACTATGTCTGCATACAGGTCACCCCGATACTATGTCTACATACAGATCACCCCGATACTATGTCTGCATACAGGTCACCCCGATACTATGTCTACATACAGGTCACCCCGATACTATGTCTACATACACGTCACCCCGATACTATGTCTGCATACAGGTCACCCCGATACTATGTCTACATACAGGTCACCCCGATACTATGTCTGCATACAGATGTATAGATACACACACGGGGACCATGCTGGGGAACAGACGTAGCCCCGCCTCCAGAAGGAAGGACGGTGTCAGAGATGATTGGAGGATCCGAGTGACACAAATCAGATACATTGTTGTTCGGGGGGGAGGGGGGGTTGAGGATTTCTCTCCGGAGTGTACTGTCACTTTAAGGTATTATCGGATAGGAAATGTTTTCTGTGACATGTTGCAGGTATTACTCATGTGCTGCAATTAGTGTGGCCCTCAGTGGACATGATGTGGCCCCGTAATGAATCATTTGAGTGTTTGTTGAGAATGAAATCTGGTGACCCGGAGCCGTGATCCCGGCTCTAGAACATTCTTTCCGCTCACACGCCGAATCCTTCAATCTCTGGCAGGAGAAGGGAAATGGTTCCGGAATATTGACTACTACCGACTGGACGGGTCCACCACGGCTCAGACCCGGAAGAAGTGGGCCGAGGAGTTCAATGACATCACCAACGTGAGGTAAGGCCATTATACCGTGTTCTCGTCTCATAGACGTGTCGTGCCGTGTTCTCGTCTCATAGGCGTATGTATACCGTGTTCTCGTCTCATAGGCGTGTCGTGCCGTGGTTTCGTCTCATAGACGTATGTATACCGTGTTCTCGTCTCATAGGCGTGTCGTGCCGTGTTCTCGTCTCATAGGCGTATGTATACCGTGTTCTCGTCTCATAGGCGTGTCGTGCCGTGTTCTCGTCTCATAGACGTATGTATACCGTATTCTCGTCTCATAGGCGTGTCGTGCCGTGTTCTCGTCTCATAGACGTATGTATACCGTATTCTCGTCTCATAGACGTGTCGTGCCGTGTTCTCGTCTCATAGGCGTATGTATACCGTGTTCTCGTCTCATAGGCGTGTCGTGCCGTGTTCTCGTCTCATAGACGTATGTATACCGTGTTCTCGTCTCATAGGCGTGTCGTGCCGTGTTCTCGTCTCATAGACGTATGTATACTGTATTCTCGTCTCATAGGCGTGTCGTGCCGTGTTCTCGTCTCATAGGCGTATGTATACCGTATTCTCGTCTCATAGGCGTGTCGTGCCGTGTTCTCGTCTCATAGACGTATGTCCATCGGGGTGTCGTGCCGTGTTCTCGTCTCATAGGCGTGGCGTGCCGTGTTCTCGTCTCATAGGCGTGTCGTGCCGTGTTCTCGTCTCATAGACATATGTATACCGTGTTCTCGTCTCATAGCCGTGTTGTGCCGTGTTCTCGTCTCATAGTCGTGCCGTGTTCTCGTCTCATTGACGTGTTCTCTCCATCTCTTCTCAGGGGACGTCTGTTCCTGATCTCTACGAAGGCCGGGTCCCTGGGGATAAATCTGGTGGCTGCCAATCGTGTGATCATCTTTGATGCTTCGTGGAATCCATCGTATGACATACAAAGTATCTTCCGCGTGTATCGCTTCGGTCAGATCAAGGCAGTGTTTGTGTACCGCTTCTTGGCACAGGTATGTAACGTGTTCATGTTGTCAGTCCAACGTCATAGCTCCTCCCTATGGAGGTGATGGCGCCACTTCCAGGACGTCTCCGGTCTCTGTGCCGCCCCGGAGAATACCCGGCTACAACTGTCACCATACCCAGACGGCACCCTCCATGTATACTCCCAGGCGGCACCCTCCATGTATATTCCCAGACGGCACCCTCCATGTATATTCCCAGACGGCACCCTCCATGTATACTCCCAGACGGCACCCTCCATGTATACTCCCAGGCGGCACCCTCCATGTATACTCCCAGGCGGCACCCTCCATGTATACTCCCAGACGGCACCCTCCATGTATATTCCCAGGCGGCACCCTCCATGTATACTCCCAGGCGGCACCCTCCATGTGTCCTCCCAGACGTCACACTCCATGTATACTCCCAGGCGGCACCCTCCATGTATACTCCCAGGCGGCACCCTCCATGTGTCCTCCCAGACGGCACCCTCCATGTATACTCCCAGACGTCACCCTCCATGTGTCCTCCCAGGCGGCACCCTCCATGTGTCCTCCCAGACGTCACCCTCCATGTTGTGTTTGCAGGGGACGATGGAAGAGAAGATCTATGATCGGCAGGTCACTAAGCAGTCCTTGTCCTTCCGGGTGGTGGACCAGCAGCAGATCGAGCGTCACTTCACCATGAACGAGCTGACCGAGCTGTACTCCTTCGAGCCGGACCTCCTGGATGACACCAATCCTGAGAAGAAGAAGAAGAGGGAGACCCCCAAGCTGCCGCGGGTAAGAGATACGTGTTCTATCGCGCGGTACATCCCGCGGTACATCGCACGGTACATCTCGCGGTACATCGCGCGGTACATCTCGCGGTACATCGCGCGGTACATCGCACGGTACATCTCGCGGTACATCGCACGGTACATCGCACGGTACATCTCGCGGTACATCTCGCGGTACATCTCGCGGTACATCGCGCGGTACATCGCGCGGTACATCGCGCGGTACATCTCGCGGTACATCGCGCGGTACAATGACAAAGCATGATACATAATTACAATAAAACATATTTGTTTAAACTTTTTTATTTACTTTCCCTTTAAGAAATGGCCTAAATATTTACATAATAAAAGGCGGCCATCTTAAGGCCTCGGTCACACCGGAACGTTCTGTGGCGGGTTCTACGCTCGCCGAACGCTCTACAAAATGCTCAAACATGTAAATCCCATTGTAGTCAATGGTCTGGTTCCCACCTCGGCGCCCGCCCGTCCCTAACGCGTTACAAAGCGGCCCACGCCTGAGAAGGTGCCGGTACTACTTTGGGCCGTTTTGTTGCGCGTTTCCATCGGGATACAGCCAAGTAGCCTTCGGAAACGCGCGTTTGTCGCGCATATGCAATACGCCGAGGTGTGAACGAGACCTAAAGCTGGAAGTGTGCTGGCGGGCGCCCGATCTCATGATAAAGATAATTCCATCGCAGGCCTTGAGTGTGACACGTATGTGTTAGAGGGTTGGGGTCCCCTGTATGGAAACCCGTGTGCTCCACTGTGCTGGCTCCAGGGCTCCCATATTACATGTATGTCTATGCCAAGGCCGGTGTCTCTGAGAGCGGCAGAGAATACATACATTACATGTACAGTAGAGAGGAAGGAATAAAACATAGACATATTTTCGGGCTCAGACATAATGTGAAGGGTATGTTATTGTACTGGGCCCATTATTGGGTTTTCTGTTTGATGAGCAGAAAATGATCACATGCTCCCCTCCTCCTCCTCCCGCTCCTCCTCCTCCCCCTCTTCCTCTCCTCCCTCTCCTCCTCCCTCTCCTCCTCCTCCTCCCGCTCCT